TGTGCAACTCGCCTTGGACCACTGGGGATGGGCGGACCCCCTGCTCCAGACCGACGGTACTGGAGAGGTTATTCGGCCTTGCACCTTTTTTCAGCATGCGGCTTCTGTTGATGAAGGGCAATCCTCAATTGACGGTATTCTCATGAACCGCACAGCGCTCGCAGCCTTGATTCGTATAGAGGTTTTGGACCACAGAGACCGCCAACATCGACCTGTCCAAGCAACCTTTGCCTGGGATCGTATTGCTCAGGTTGGTACCATCATGCAACGGTCTGCTGCCTTGGATCTTACACATGTCGCGACCTGTAATGTGGCTGACCCTGCCTGTCCGGTGAACACCTTAGCTGAACAGATGTGGCGACAACATGAGCAAGATTTTTCCAACGAGCCCGACCCCTGCAAAAGATGGTCGATCTTTAATCAATTTGCCATGCATGTGCTGCTGGGGAATGGGGCTACTTGGGAGAAAGGTCCGCGAGTGCGGGGCCGCCTTCCTAAGTTCTGCAAAACCACCATGGTTACTTCGCAGGAGGCTAATGGCAGTGTGGCTTCGCCACGGCTTCAGTTGCTGCAGGCATGCCTTCGATCCCTAAGAGAGCTTCAAGTTCGTCTTGGTCGACCGTGCACTGGCACTTCGGACTACCATACGTTACTCAACACCCAGCGACGGCTGCTCCGCCGATTGAAAGAAGCACAAGTTGTCCCAGGGGCTGTGAAAACACTCTTCCTGCAGGATTTGCACCATGTGGCGGAGCTTGTTTTGGTAGCCATCAACCAGGAGCTACAGCAATTGAAACTTGCTGCCATTCGCAAGTGGAGACAAGCAATGAAGAATGCTACCACCTCCTTGACGATAGGGAAAGTTGTCTACCAGTACCTCAAGAGGAAAGGCCGCGTGGTGCCGCAAAATCTCATTGAGGATGACTCTGGGAATATTGTCTTTGATCCGCAGACTGCAATGGATGTGATTGCTAACAAGTGGGATGCTGTCTTCTCAGTGAATGTGAGTCACCAGCATGAAATGCAGATCCTGAAACAAGTTTGGCCCTATATTCATGACAAAGCTCGCCCTGTTGCCCTGCCGCCTGTCACAGCCCGACAACTTTGGGAACAAGCCTTGCGCCGGAAACCTGAAGCGGCAGCTGGTCTCGATGGGTGGCGTACGCGGGAAGTTCAAGCTCTCCCACCTGCTGCCTTTCAACCTGTTGCCGATCTCTTCAATGATATTGAAGCTGGATACTCTGAGTTCCCGGTGATCCTTACTCAGGTGCGTGTGATCATTTTGAACAAGGATGGAAGCGACGCTCCGCTGGCAAAAAGGCTTATTGCCCTACAGTCTATTTTCACTCTCCTATACACCGGCCTGCGTTTCCTCCAGTTACAAAGCTGGCAACAGCAGATTATGCCTTCGCAGCTGAAAGGAGGTATCAAGATGCGCCAAATGTCGGAGGTACACATGACGCTGCAGCTTCAGATCGATCATGCGCACAGCTTTCAAGGCCACTTTGCAGCCTTGAAGCTCGACAAGTCGAAATGCTTTGACCGTTTGATGCCTAAGCTTTGTGCTGCAATTATGTTGGCATTGGGCCTTCCAACGGGCTTCGTGCGAGCTTTCCTATGCCTCTATTTGAGGATGACGCGTTTCCTTTCCTTCAAACAATGGACCAGAGCTGCTCCGATCTCCACGCCAAACGGCGTCGTGCAGGGTTGTTCGCTCAGTCTTCTTTGTATCAATCTCCATATGGCCATTTGGGCTTGGCTGATGGAGCATATTGAGGGAGTGGACTTCCGTGCCTTCATTGATGACACATACTTGTGGTCGCGGCAACCTACGATTGAGGGTCTTGTCTCCGCCGTCAAAGCCACTGAATTGTGGGATTCTCTTTGTGGCCAATTCCTCAATGCAAGCAAATGTGAGGTCTTTGCCACCACTCCAGACCTCCGACGTGCACTAAAAGCTGCGTTTCCGGAAATGCGCCTTGTTGAGGTGGTGAACATCTTGGGAGCCTTTGTGCAAACGACCAAGAAGAATGTTGGTTCCTTTCCTGCTAGCAAGATACAGGCCGCTCTCAGAGATTGTGAGGTTATTCGCACCTTGCCTTGTGACGGCTACAAGCGAGCCCAGATCTTGGCCACCAAAGTGTTGCCGCAGATTGCATTTGCGCCGCATTTGAACTTTATCCCCAAGCGGGCCTTGGCCCGCCTACAAAGTGCTGTGGCGGACTCCTTGTGGCAAGACAGACCTAGATGGCGGTCGAAGCATCTCCTTCTTTGCATTGTGTACAAGGCCCACAAGTTGGATCCATTCCTCTGTCGTGCGGTCACAACAATTGCTGAATCGGTTCGCTTCTTGCAATATTCCGTGTTTGCACGGCAGCAATGGGCGCAGCTTTTTGAACAAGACCAACTTACTGCACAAGCATGGATGACACAATTCAGTCAGGCCTGCCAGATCCTGGATATTGAGTGGGTCCACACCTTTGAATTTTCGGTTTTTGGGTCTGCGCCTGTCAACTTTCTGGATTTCTCGGTTCCTGACCTGAAATGTTTGCTGAAGAGTTTGGCTGCAAACAAATGCTACCATACTGCCTGCCTCATGCCAAGGAAAGACATCAGTACGGCTGTTGGTTTCCTTGACACTACGATGACGCTTTCGGCTAAGAAGAGGTTAGCTGCTATTCCTCATGAGGGTTTTTCCTTCCTGTTCTTTTGGGAAAGTGCGGTGACAGGTTGCACTTTGACAGCCGACAGGCTTGCTGCAGCCGAGCTTGTTGACCATGCCAATTGCCGCTTTTGCTCTGCTCCCAAGGAATCCGTGAGCCATTTCGTATACGAGTGTGATGCCTTGCCCGAAGCGGTTCGGCAACCTTCGACCAACTTCTTCTTCGGCCCTAATTTCAGCACACTGGGCATTGTTGAGCTTCCTTTGGACACTATACGCGATAAACTGCAAGTGTCCAGCATTTCGGAGGTTCCTGTGTTTCAGTGGACGGCTGTGCAGGAGCAGGTTCAACACGTGTGGACGGACGGCTCCGTGCAACTGACAACCTACCCATGGCTGACCATCGCATCCTTTGCTGTCATTGCGGCTGATGAATCTATTTTAGCAGTTGGTCGGGTCCGCCATTGGCGCCTGTCCAGTTATTCAGCTGAGCTTTGGGCCATTGTGGTCGCCTTTGCCAGAGCAGAACAGCCGTTGGTAATCCACACGGATTCCCTTACCATCGTCAAGCAGTTTCTGGTGTTGCTTCAAACTGAGACAGTCCAGGTTGAATGGACCCATGCCAATTGGTGGAGCTTCATTTTGGATCAGCTTCTTCACCGGAAAGAGCTACACCCTTCTCCATTGCAATTGCTTTGGTGCCCTGCTCATTTGCTGGAACACGTTCCTAGCCAGGCACTCACGGAAGAGTTGGCAACTAAAGCTGGGTCTTCTCGACAGGACATCATTCTCAATAGGCTGGCTGACAACTGTGCTAAGCAGCATATTGCCCAACTTGCACACGAGACGAGTCGTGAGCTGCACCTGATGGAGCATGATGTTTTTGCCAGGCAGCTTTGGTTGAGCCAGCTTAATAGAATGTGTAAAAAGCCTGCTGATTCCGGTACTTTCAAAGGTCATGTCTCCCCTGAGCCTGCTTTTCAGTACTCTGCTAGACAGATGTGTCCCAAGTGGCCATGGGACATCTCGCAAGCCTTGTTTACTTGGCGGGCCGACATTGACCTTAATTTACCCTTTCGAGCCACATCCACCTTGACGGAGAACAATTTCCGCACCTTTCTACGCTTTTGCGCCTCCTTGCAGTGGCGTGTCGGAGATGGATTCGCTTGCTCAGTCTTCGAGTTGGCTGTTGTGGCATTTATACGTGGTTGGAGGTTTGAACTGCCTCGAGGAACCATTTGCACGCCTCAAGCCTTCGCCAGCTTGATTCGTTCGGGTTTTGCCTATTGCAAGAAGAAAAGGGTCGTGGTCGCGCCTCTGTTGCTCGACAAACGCAACAAGAGTAACGGCAAGACCTTTCCGAAGGGTGCTTTCCTCGGCGCCGAAGTGTATGTTGAGAATGCTGCATTGGATATGCTTGCTCGTGCGTTTGCCAAAGGTGCCAAAGCAACACCTTGGTCTTGGAGCATTCCGTTTGACAACCTTTTGTAGTCATGGCTACGAGTGACCCTAGCTGCGGAATGCGCTGGGGTTGCCACCGACTCGGAGTCGCGGCTTGAGAGCAAAAAAAAAAGGAAGCTCCCCCCCGCTTTTAGGCGGGGGGAGCTTCTATTGAAGAAGCGTGAGCTATCCTGTGTCCATGCTAGTACGTAGCTTAAGTAAGTTACTAACTTCAGCACCTAGCTTCTATTAGCTACCTACCTTGCTACTACCTACCTCTAGATCCTCTAGGACCACTAGCGGCCTACCCCAAAAAAGATAGAAAATGGATTTGATGCATCTGGGGAAGTTGTTTCTGGTGGGAATCATTCACCTCTTGATCGATCAAGCGCCAACAAATGCGGGGGTCGCTCCGAATGTCGGAGGTGGAGAATTGATGCCAAACACTTCCCCCAGATTGCTGGGGGTGCCCAGCCTGTTGATATCTAGAATTTCATGCAAATCTGCATTGGCTTTGGATGTTTCTTTCACAGTTGAGAATGACTTCCTGTAGGAATCCCTATGAATCTTGGCAATCTCATTCTCGTCATTGGGATGGCCATGTCTTCGACATATTGGATGGCCATGTCTTTCAGGACTCCACGCATCTCCCAGTGTTCGTGCGGGACGCTGCGAGAACGACTTCCGAAACAGGAACTCCCAAAACGGATCGCACCTCCCAATTAGCTCACATTGGCTCAACTCCCCCCCCAAATCCTCAACTCGTTCCTGGACTGGTGTTCACACCTATCCCCGGCTTTCGTTCCAAAAAGAAAACCATCCATGAATGGGTAACCGCGGCCCCAAAAAACACCAACCGCCCGACGCCCGCGTGAAAGAGGCCCGGGGGCCGAGTGACCTGGAGGCCATGAAGTGGAAGGTGGCCACGATGGCCCCTTCAAATTCGGTGCCTTGGCGCAACCGGGATGACACCGGACGGTCGCGGACGGTCGGGGCGACACCGGGTCGCAACGGGGCTTCAGTTTTCAGGGTTTCAACCAGAAACGTGTTTGGTGTTTTTTTGGGTATGTTTGGTCTGGGGACGGGAGGAATCTGAAAACCAAAACCCCAAAAAAGATACCGGGCCGCATGTTTCGGAGCTACAGTTCAGCCCTGGTGAGAGTCTGGCGAATCGATTCTCACCGTTGGACCACCCGACCGTCGCGACTGCGGCGGCTGCGGGTCTTTCCGAGTCGCAGAAGGTTGGTTTTGGGGAAAACCCCGACGTGCGGAACGAGTCGTCGAAGACTATTGTTGATGATGAATCTAAGAAAACCACCTCATTTGGAGTGTTGGGCCTCTTCATATAGTTGTTAATCAGCCTACCAGTACATTCAATGAAGCCGTGTTCGAGTTGAGATGTTTTAGGGAGACAGCCAAAGCAGCGTTACATTGTTGCATGTGGCTGGCAAGTGCTCCCGCCACGAAGCTCTTGTCGATCCCAACCTGCATTATGTGGAACTCATGGGAATTTACATGAATTGACAATTGATCTGGTCTCCCAAGACAAGCAAAACTGTTTTCATGAAGGAACTGTTGAGGAAACGAAACACCCAGTGGATCAAGTCGAATTCGTATTTCTAAAGAAAGACCCCTCGGTCTACACGTTCGCCGGTATAGCGGCTGTCTGGCGTCTGTGGAAGGTCTGGCGTCTACCGAACGGATGCGAAGACGAGTGCGTTGCTGGGGACCGGGGTTTTGGGCCGAAGCCGAAGCAGATCGAAGCAGGGTGAGCCAGTCTTCCGTAAACACTGAAGTGACGAATCGTGATTTCAGCCAAGGAGACCCTTGCCAGTGTTCATCGTCGTGGGAGAGAAGGCCTGCGTTCGGCAGATCTGAGGCCGAAGGGAAGAGAAACCCGATTCGGGGCTTTCTATCGCTGCACAACTGAAAACCAAGAAGGACCCCTAAATCACAATCGGATCCCTATGAAAAGCATCATTTCCTCTACAAAAGAGCTCGTTTGCAGGCTCCACAGCTGCGCGATGCTGCGCGATGCTGCGCGATGCGGCTCCAACGTCTAACTGTGGACAAAGAAAAAAGACTTCACCTATGGTGCGATCAAAACAGAAGAGGACACTGATTGGAAGGTCTACATAACCTTTTTCTCATCCCGCCCTACATGCGACGTCCCAAATCCCCCAATGCCCCCCCACACACGTCGGTTCACGCCTTCCAAATGATACCTGAGCCACCGTGCAATGGGCGGCAGGCTGCATGACTGTTTGAGATGTGTTGTTCATCAACACTGCGTGGCCTGTGAAGCTCCTACACCCAGTAGCCTGCAAGCAGCACTTGTCAGGACGCTTCTTGAAGGTCAAAGTCAAGACAACGGGACGAACGGATCAGTGCCGTTGGACTCAGTGATCCGAAAAGTCAACTGGGACCTGGCAACTCGATGAAACCACACAAACTCGCCTCCTTCCCTCCCAGAAGAGAACTTCCATCTGCCACTTGAAAAGTGGCTGCTCACATCTTCCAAAAACCATCAGCTTCAACGCAGAACATGCCACCGAGCGGTCGGGTTCGTGGTTTTCTCCGACTGGGCCACTCTCGCAGATGTTGGTGGCGATGAAGAGCGAGATTCCTGAGCCAATGCCATAGCCCTTCTGCATCAACTCCTTAGCAGCTGCCATAGCTGGCGGCGACCAAGAGGGGAAACCCGCTTCGGCGCGCCCTTGGGGGTGACCATGCCGCATGTTTGGTTTGTTCCACCTGTCTGCCCAGCAAGTTGGGGTCGGGTGATTGGGGGGTTGAACTCCAACAAGAACTGTATTCGGTGGGTCTTCTGGAGGTTGCAGATGGGAAGTGTTTGAGTGTCGAGGTTGCGTGTGCGCCACTGTGCATCGTGAAATCAAGGGACAGAACCAAGTGGGGATCCAAAGCACACCCACCAAACCCATGGTAGGTTGACATGCCTTGAACAAGGAGGAATCTCTTCAATTTGACTGGGTGTCCAGAGGGTCCGGGTTTGGACCCACAGCCAAGTATTTTTTGATGCAATGCTGTGGACACCTTCCACGATGTGCATCGACGCACATGGACCCAATGGATTGAGCGTCATCCAGCAGAATCACCACGACGCCGGCGAAGAAGAGCTGGATGATGATGAGGATCGCACACATAAAACCTGAGGTGGCACCCCGAGAGGAGAGGAAAGCACCCAGAGAGGTAGGAATCTCGGAATCTCGGAATCTTTGCAGAGAGGCTTTCTGGGTTCGGATCAGCGGTGCCCTAGTTACTTTTAAGCGTCCTTGCTGCTAGTAGCGATGCCCTTGTTACTAGTAGCTTCTTGTTCCTAGTAGTAATGCCAGGAGCTACTAGTAGCTTCTTGTTACTACCGTTTTCCTTTCTGACTGTTTATCTTTACGGAAAGGCGGACACCGATACAGGCTCGGCGAACCCCTGCGGGGCTGTGATCATGCGCTTTTCGGTGTCGTACAAACGAAAGTGGCAGAGGTTAGCATCCGTTTTTGGGGGGGTGTCTTTTCTTTACACGACAAAGTCGATCCGAGTGCTTGGCTGTAAAAAGGAAACTCCGAAAACAAATAGATACAGTGCAATCCATCCACAAACTGTATGCGACTGACGTCTCTCTATCTGGGGGTGCTTGGGTCTCCCCAGGAGTACATCCAGCCTGGAACCCCAATTGGTTCTCCGTTTTGGCCGTTGGACCGGGTGGTGGGTGGTTGGACCCGGTCGCTCCCAAGGAGCCAATCTCACGAAGGCTCCCGTACATGCCGCTCATCACGTACGCCACGGCCTGGAGCGGTTTCCGCGGTGTCCGACGTCGCGCCGCGGGGGGGGGGCGACGGAGCGTCCGTTGGATTGAAGTCTGACATGGCCTCCAAAGGTGGAAGATACGATATGTATGATGTAGGATGTATGGAAGTCTATGATATAGTCTAACGTATAAACCATACATCGGTGATATAAGTTATAATATATACAGTAATCATATATGTATGCATCTGTAGCCCCTAGGTTCCTGGCTGTTGATAGTTACGGCTGAAGGTTTGTGGATATGTGACATGACATGCGTGCACTTGTAGTTGCACAACATGCTTGAGTCAAGCATGGTCTCTGTGTCATCATCTGTAGATTTGACTCATCTGTGGTGTTCTGTTCAATATCTGAGAAACTGATAGAAATTCAACGCATGGCCGGGGCCCAATAACCCGGCACCGCCCAGGCACCAGCTCCGCACATGTTCTTCCCGCATGTAAAAAAGAACGCGCGCGTGGAGATAAGCGCCTCTCCCATGGTGATCAGCATGCCAAACCTCAGGGACTGCAAGGTCACCACCATCACCACCGGTCACCAACAGTAACAGGGAAGGGATCAGTGAGAAGAGTCACTGCGTTATCGGAGTCTGGACTCCGGACGAAATGTCCGTCACATGACTACACTACACTGGCATCACTGGCTCTCCCCTTTTTAAAGAAAATGTGTTGGTCTTGGATATCATTGTTGACATCCATCCCGTGCGGTCCACACACCATCCCTTTGGAACTCCTCGAACAGTTTTTCTCAACAGAAGCTTCGTTTGTTTGGACTGCCACGGACTGTTGCCGAACCCAAACTGGACCAGGTCATCTGTATGATGAAAATGTCTTTTACAGTAACCCACACACACAACATGGCATCCTCCATCACCTGCTTGTTTTCTTCCCACACCAACCACGCCACATCCATACAAGCTTCCCCGCAGGGTCACCCAACAACTAAAAACACGGCCGGGTGGCAACTTCTGGGCGCCATGGAAGAGCGCACGATCCTCCTTCAAAGTCATGTCCACATCAATGATCCTGTCACCACAGACCAAGCGAAACGCCCCCAAAACTGGATGCAAGCAGCACCACGCCATGGAAAGGGGTGGCATTGGGGTTGAGTTCCACCCCCACCCCCTCTTAGCCGCGGTCCTGTTTGGACCCTTTTTGATGGTCAATTTCACCTCGGGAAAAATAGAAGTCGGATCAATCATCCCATGTAAAGGTTGAACATAAAAATACTCATGAAAACCACCAGCCAGAAATGGATTTGAGGGTCCCGAAGTCCCAACCACCATTATATAAGCTCTGTTCCTGTCCATCCGCCTGTTCTGTTCTGTTTTAACCCAAACCATGTTGGAGACATTGGAGAGGGGAATAAGAAGACGCAGAACCTCTCGGACGGCACCGAAATGAGCTTTGGGCGAAACCGCATGAGGGTTGAGAAAATGAGGTTTGTTTGGCATGTTTGCTTGCCCAACTGCTCTGATTGCCCAACTGCGTGTCTTGGTGTCAGTCGTCTTCTTGTCTTGCTAGCCAAATTGAAACTGCCTGAGTGTCATCTACTTGATGGTTGGTTCTGGTTGGCCCCAAACTTTCTTGTGGCAAGATCTACAGTATCTTTGGTCAAGCAAATGAGTAGCCGCATCTGCATCCGTTCAGAAGGTCGCCTCCCCTTGGGCGCCCTGAACTGCCCACTGTCTGAACAAACAGGGCGACTGATAAACGCCTGCTGCCAGCCAAGAGTTGCATCACCTGTTCACATCCGCCCAAACGATTCGAAAGGACATCAATTGAATGTGGGAGAGGCCCAACACAGAAAAACATGTCATATTAGCAATGGCCTTTAGCGCTACTAGCAGCTAGTCCTCCATCCAGGAGCCTATAGAAGCACGGGACATGCATCCAGACTGGTCCGATTCAGCAAAGCGACAGATGATTGGTTGGAGCCGTCGGTGAAACTGCATGGCTGGCATGGCTGGCGCCGGTGTGGGAAGCTGCCAATTGAACAAATGGTGCCTTCCGATCCGGTCGGGTCCTGTCCTTAAAATCAGACCTCATAGATGTTGAGGAGGGGGTGACTTTCTAACCTGTATTTGTGTTTCTTCAAAAGCATCAACATGACAAAACCTGAAAAGGGGTCTATGCTTCTAAACCGCGAGAACTGGTGGAATTCAGATGCATTCCGACGGCACTTTTTCCCGGTGCTTCCTCGTCTTGCCCCGGGTGACCAGCTCCGCTCCGTCACGAAGCGAGCAGCCATGCGCCAAGGAGCCATGCCGGAGGTAATGATGGGCGAGATACCCAGCCTCGAGAGGTGATGCGGTTTGTTCGATGCTCGAGGTTGGCACAAAGATGGCCTACATGACTGGTGGATGTTTGATGATTTTGGTGAATGTAGGCCCTTTTTTTGCGCCACCAAAGGAGCTTCATGGTTCTTCGGTACGAGAAGAGCCTTTTAGAACGATATCTCTAGTGATGAAGTGGTCTCTCAAGCACTTGTCACTTGTGCAGGTTAGGGCTGTAGGCCCTGACAAAGACCATTCGCTGTGGTTTGAATGCAACACGTTCCATTCCAAACTACAAGGACCAGAAAAATAAAATAAAAAGAGCCAGATACACGTGGTCGACTCTGCTTCCTTCCAGGCCACTCTAAAAACAACCAGGACGGAAAGATGGACCAGTCTCGTCCGGTCGGATGAGTCGATAGAACGGGACATGGACCAGTCTACCATCGTCTACCAAACACCCTCACGGAGTTTCTGGGCCCAAAAGCCATCACATGTCTGAGATGCACAAGATTTCATTCTGGCATCTAAACCAATAGATTCGTGAAACACTCACCACGTACAATACATAATACATGTTGTTGACTCAAAGAGGAAAAAAAGAGGGTCCAAAGAATCCAAAGGAAAAGAATCGCGCGACTTGCGGTCCCTGTCCGTCACGGCCTTTCATAGGCAGTGAAGCAACGAAAAAGAATAAACGTTGTGTGGACGCAAAGGTCCAAAGAAAAACTTGCAAGAACGCGTGTCACGTCGTGGGCTCCTGTTGAACGGGCGTCGAACGGGCACTGTTGTGTCGCCATATGTCACCCATGGTGACCCGACGACACCCAGACACGACGGAAGCATGTTGCAGGTGACTCCAAGATGGATTGGAACATGATGGAACATAGTCATAGTTGGACCTGTGTCCATATTCTGATTCACCCAAGATGATTTATACCCATACCCATGCAATAAAATCCCTGATCGTTTAGACCTTCTCTCATTTCCAGCCGACCGAAGGCCCAAGGCGCTCCATTAAAGTCCCTCGATTCGAGGCCAGGATGACACGCATCCAGTAGAAGGGGTCTGAACCTCGTCCGGTCGCATTGGTCGCTCACCACGAGCGAGTCGAATAAAACCAAAATAACAAGAAAATCAACTGGGGTCATCAATGCACCAGGGGATTCTTCTATTGAAATACACACCCATCTCTTGGTCGGATGTCAGTGACACTCTTGGATGACTGTGTCATCCATCCCTTCACAGCCAACAAAGGTGGTTCCAAACAGGGGCCAAGATCTTCCCCAAACGAACGGTTTTAACGGTGACAAAATATCAACTCGGTTTGGCTTCAGATTGGATCACCCAAAAATGGGTTTTAAATGGTGTTAACATGTGCTTCTCGTTTATCCTCTGATGTGGGAGTGATCCGAAACATGCGGATATGCAGTGTCTGCTGACTCGGCTCACTCGCACATCACCCCAGAAAACCTCTAGTAGCGTCCTTGCTCCTAGTAGCCATGCCAGGAGCCCCTAGTAGCGCCCTTGCTCCTGGTAGTAAGGCCAGGAGCCCTAGTAGCATCCTCCACCCTTCTCTTGTCTTCAATGAACCACACCTTCTCTTCGTCGGTGGCGGCATTTCATGGCTTGTCACCACAAGCAAAAGAATCGTTCACATCGGAGCATGAGTTGCTAATCCCACGGGGTGGGTTTGTGCCGAAGACCGGGCATTGAGAAGGACTTGTCCGCCACTAAATACAGGAAGTGCCTCCACCCAACTAGATGGAGCCAAAGCCATTCCAAAGAAGAATGTCGCTCCTCACATCGTACGCCCTGGTGTCTACTCTCTCCATCCAATCCAGAGACAAAGGGGAAAATAAAGAAAAAGACACATCTTGAGAAAGGATGATGTTAATCGTAAACCATCGTAAACCTGCTGGTGGCCAGCAGGAAATCAGCTCAAATTGGGCATTGTCGGAACCGCGGAAACTCCCCCTCATGGCATTTTGCTTTGCCCTCGCTTTGCACCAGACATCGCCAAAGAGCTCTTGGAGGTCAACACGCCGTAGAGCGGGATCTGGCAACAGACTAAGAAGACGAAGAGAGAGATCGACGTCCACCTCAGCAAGATGAATCCAAGCGAAGCTGAACATCATGAAACATCTGCCTCTAGTAGCCTCCAACCAAAGCTGCTGCGGCGAAACACTGGAAGGAGGTCCCTTTTCAGCACCTCTTCGAACCCGGCAACAGCTCCACAATGCCAGGGAGTCACCCTGTCTTGCGCGGAGAGACTCTCTGGTCAGACTGGTCGGGAATCATCCCACCAAAAAACTGTGGACCTTCATTCCACCCTCCGTGTGGAGCTATAGCTCAACACCCTCAGACTGGAGTCGCTGCGAGAAGTGAAAATACCAGGTGTTTCCCTTGAGTCTATGCCCACACCATGCCACATCCCTGAATATCCCCTGGTGTGCATGGTTCTCGAAAAGCCGAAGGGGTTTTGGAAGTGAACCGAGGCTCTGGAAGTCTTCCAAAGGATTATGGGTGCAAGATGGATCAAGATGGTACAGGGTTAGAAGAATTCTTGTTGTTCTCCCAAAAGAATGTTCCACTTTGACCCCAAAGAAAGCCGAATTCGTAGGTTCCAAATGGGCGGCTGATGGTTCGGTTGCAGGAGGAAACCTCTCAAAAGAGTGATGTTCTCTTTGACCGACTGACGGGTTGACTGGGCCACACCCGGGCCACATCCAGATCGTTTCAGCCATCCAAACTGCACAAGACTCGTCGAGTGCGACTCGATGGTTCAACCGGTTCGAGGCACAAGACTTTCTCCTTGAAAGGGATGCGGCCTCAGCGCTGAAGACGAAGGACGCGAAGAAGAAGACAGGGGAGGGTCGAACTGTTCAGGGCAGAGACCATGGAAGATCTGTTCAATTTGCTCAAGGCAATGGTGGTGGCTAGCGCAAGCGCTAGCCGCTAGCTTTTGTCCCACAAGTGAGGCCAGTCGACCTGCACGGTGGGCACAGACCTTGAAGGAAGATAACGAAGTCGCTTCCAAGCCAAACATGTGGAGGGTCTTGAAACAGGCTTCAGCAACTTCCAGTGACAGCGGAAAACACCAGACACGACTGAGAAAATCATCTTTGCCCAGCTCGACATATGCTCAAAATGCTCAGGGTGATCATCTCACCAAACACACCCTAGAGCCCATTTGACCCCTGTGTTGATAGGAAAAGGCCATATTTTGAGTGGTTGGTGGTCCAAAATAGAGGTCATGACCAGGTTCTAGGACTATATGAGAACCTTCATGAACCTTCCAAGTGTCAGCTCACCCCCAACCAGTTCCAAACGTGCACGGCCATTCCTCAGTTCTTCGTTCCTCCCTCCGGAGAGAGATCAACGGCGATCGCTCCAGTCACTGGACCGCCCGGCGGTCCGGAGCTTCGACCTCTGGGAGGACGCAGGTCACGGGCTTGATGAGGTTCAAGAATCTGAAGCTTCCACCTGTGAAGGAGCGAACATGTCGACAAAAACCAGAAGTGGACCCACACTCACTTGCAAACTGTCTGACGGCTTGCCCCTCTAAGCCCTTCCACATATGTGGGGTGCTAGAAAGTAGACAAGTGGACCCGAAAAAGAATCACTCATGGTCCTGGATTGTCTTTTTGGGGATCTTTTGGGGGGTCCATGTTCGCGGTCCATCTTAAAGGGGGTAGCCAAAAAGGAATTCTGCCAGCAGAGACACGAGCGAAAAGCGAAGCTTGCAGAGCACCGGCTCGTAAAAAGCAGAAAAGCGGAGCTGTCCCTCTCCATTTTTTGTGGCAGTTTGGAGGCTCGAAAGGTAACTGCTAGGGAGAGGTCATTGCTTGGCATGGAACGGCTTCTTACAAAGTGAAGTGTTGGGTCATTTATATATCATCTTGGATGCGAGGGCAAAAGCTGCATTGAGTTGCATTTGAGTTGCCCTTCATCCATGGTGATCATTTGTCACCCTCGTAAAATCGCAGGAAAGCAAGCCGAGCCCTAAAGGCGCTTCCTCGCAGCGGCCATCTGTCTGGGCCCCCGGGCTTTGCATCGACATGGCACCTGCCGAGGGAACGGTGGAACCGGAGCCACCCGAGACCCAAATGGTCGTTGCAGTGGAGTTGCAGTAGAAATATCTTGGGTCTATCCCGTTACCAGGGCCCACCATCTGGCGGCTGATGGTTCAGGTGCAGCAACCGACATCTCAACTAGGGTGATGTTCTCTGAAAAATTGAGTGTGACTTTTTTACTGGTTTACTGGGACATACCGTGACATACCCTAGTCATATCTTGTCTCTATGGGGCCTCTCTGGGGTCCAAAATGGAGTGTCAACCTGTTATAAGTCCGTTTGCTATGCCCCGTCCTTGCCGTCGCGGCACATGGCGTGAGGAAGCGGAACCAAGACCGTCAGGCGTGGATCGAAGCAAGGAATGAGGCTACCACCCTAAAGGGTTTGTCATTGGTCTAAAGTTCTCAACGGTTCAAGGTGTTGGGGACAGGCCTTTTTGGAGATCGAACCACTTGGCTCTTGCCAAATTGCCTTATGTTTTCCTATCAGCATCCACAGTTAGAACTTCTGTTTCAGTGTGAAGAAGCGGATTTGATGATTCATCAAATCCGCTTCTTCACACTCGTCCACTCGTGACAGTCGGCCCGGCTCCCCTGCTCCCCCAGCGCACCTCAAGCGGCACACCTCGGCACACACCCCTGTCTTCCCACTCGCTCAGCCGGTCCAAAACCGGCGGCTTGAGCTCAAAATTGGACCAGCTGCCGCGGGCCCCCGCGCGCGGTGTTTCGCGTGTTTCGCACCGGCGAAGGGTGCGGTGTTTCCCACCCGGTCGAGACGTCGACGTGGTCGAGACGGTTTCGGCGAGCCGAGCCCAAAACATGTCCAGGTTCAATCAGCAACTGCCCGTGGCTACGTCGCTTGCAAGAGAGAGAGAGAGTTTTTCTCCCGGCCTCCACAACCCTGTCCGTTCGAATCCTCCTTCCAAACTCTGGTTCTTTCAGTTCCGTTCGGTTTCCTCAAAAGGCATCTGCCCGAATCTGAGGGCCTATGGGCCTATGGAATCCCACACTGGAGGTGGCCGACTGGTCAAACTAACCCCTTCACCACTAGAGTCTCACCATCTGTGAGAGTAAAGAGTCTTGTACGCGCTCAGCTCGACTCTTCAATCCACACAACAAAACCGACGAGCGTACAACCGGCAGAGGTTCACCAGGAAGACGCTTCCACGCCTTCCAGCAGCTTAGGGATATGAAGCCTTGGAGCCCAGCGGATTTATCAAGCCGAAAAGCACCTTTGGAGGGGGTGCTACCCACCCACTTCACGAATGCCAAGCAAGTCCAGTTTGGAATATTCTAGAAGAGTAGACCCTTTCTGATTGATGCCCAATCTTCCAAAAACCTCTGGCAGTCCTCTACTCAGAGCTAACCTGACCATACAAAACAGAAACCAATTCAAAAGAATGCGTTAGATCAGGTGGCCCACTGACTTGGTAGGCCACGGATCTTGCACTGGTGCAACCATTGTTGGGGATGTTTGTGGGATCCCTCAGACCTTTGGGTCCCATCATCTGCCCCGGATCCACCTCTCAGTCTGGTGGACTGAGCGGGCCAGATGGCACAGACCGGAACCGGTCAGGACCGGCCCAGACGGTCTGCAGACATCGGGAGTTGTGAGTCGAAAACACCATGTGCAGGCGCTCGCCACGGGCCGGCGTCCTTTTTGTGTTTCCACTCGAGGGATGAGAATCCATCGCTAGAAGGCTGCAAGGTGGCACCAGCTTTAAGGGCCGGGCCATGAAGAAGTCCTTCGACAGGATGTTGAGGGGTGCAGATTGAGGTCCCAGAGGCCATTTTCGTTGGCGGTCAATTCTTCCGTTTCCAATACCACTTTCGACCTCGAGCACGAGGTGGACGCTCTTGCTCATCATGTTCCAGAGCTGCTGCGAAGCACGCCTCAGCGAAGGACTCACCATCCTGTATTCGTACCTCCTCTTCTTGGTCCTCAGCCTGAGAATTCTCTGCCTCCGACTCCACCGATTTCGAAGGAGACACCACCTCTATATCGGCGGGATCAGTCTCCATGCCCTTGCCCTTGCCTTTGCGATTTCGTCCTTTGCCTCTCCCCTTGCCCTTTCCTTTGCTCCTCTTTCCAAGATAAGCCTCCGAAGCATCATCCCCACCCCCGGCGATTGACACCGACGGCGCAGCACCATACTCCTCATAGAACTCATCCACATCGGGCGCAGCGCCCGCGGCAGCTTGAAAGAGCTCATCCCAGGAGGTCATGCGGCGGAAAAGTGAGGCAAGAAAGGAAAAATCGAACAAACAAGTTCCAGCGCCACGGATGTCGGGTGTTTATTAGATGGAAACTACATAGTCAGGGATGTGTTTTAAAACCACCCATGCATGGCAATTTAGTGTTCAGCACTGCAGAAGATCCCAAAACACATTCCCTTGGTAGCTCCATGGCTGTTGTGTGCACATCGGTTGAGGCTGTCTTTGTTTTGACTCTAGATTTGTTGTTGGCATGGTCGTAGTTGCAGAGTTGGAAAATGCCTCCACTCTCAATTGAAGCAGGAATGGCTCCATCAAGGAACAGTGCTTTCCAATGTGCAGCTTCCACAGGAATGGCTGTCAACAAACATATAGATGCAGGTAAGTAGTGAGCAGTATGGCAACTAAGACTATATGTAAGATAGAAAGGGAACACCCTTGAAGAGCTTGTCTCACTGAGGTATCACACAAAAGATTGAGTAGCTCAGGCCGTGGGCCGCCCATGAGGCTCTTTGATGAATGAGCCGGAGTCTCCAGAGCCAGAGTTGAGGCAACGGTCTCCAGAGTTGCAACAAATCTCTTTTGAAGGTACCAACAGCTGCACAAACTCAAATCAACGTCAAGTCTTTGACTCTGAAGTGATTCTCTGAACCAGGACCTTTGAAGCCCTCTTCTCTCAAATTGTCAAATTGTCCTTTGAAGCCCTCTTCTCATTCTAGTTCGCCGTCTTGTCCTAAGTTCGGACACGGAGCCCAAAGAGGATACCGATATTCTCCGGTACCCTCCCTGTGCCGCTCGCTCATCACGGTCCTTCTTTCGGCAGCTTCTTGAGGCTGTCCAATGCACTCTCCAGCTCGTCGAAGGGACTGGGTCCATCACGAGGTGTTTTGGGCAGCAGAGCGCTGAACGGAAGCTTGAAGGGCTCAAAGCTACCTGGCACAGTTGGAGGGGCGCTTGCCACGCGGCGCGTGCCACGCGGCGTTTCTGGTGGGTGCGAAGGCGCCCAACGGTGCGTCCAAGGCCTGGAAGTGGCCCAAACCTTCGAAGTAGTTGGACCTAGTGTGTCCTGCTTCTCTCCAGCAAGTGTTCTGAACAGGGGTTCAAACCACAAAGGACTGCCAGAGGTTGCACAGAATGGGTGTTTAAATGTTTGTGATTCAGGCTGCTCATGGTCACCCATGAAGAAAAGCAGGGCTTCACCTAAGAAACACACCCCTTCTGAACTCTAGTGGCCCTTGGCTCTTCGCTCCCATCTCCCACCTATGCTTTCTCCATCCGAATTGATCTTCTCCTGCATTATCGTCAGGCCAGTCTCATCCAGAGATGCTTCATGTCTTGCGCCACCACGACCCTCGTAGAGCTCATCATCCTTCGAAAAGACCAAGATCTCTTCCTCCTCGAAAGCGACGTGAGCTCACGCCACGACGGTCGTGAGGATCGGGGGCAGCGACTTGGTGGTCGTCCTTGGTCAGTCCCTTGCGGTTCAAAGATTGACCTCATGAAGGCGATGGAGCTCTTCATCAAGTCCCACCCTCCAGGATTGATTCATCAAGGCCAACCCAAATATAAAGCATGTAAATACCTTCTCTCTTTCAGGGATCTCCTGGGGCATCCTGGAACGGTCGCAAAAAGGACGATGATGAAAGAAAAACAGATTCTGGCTAAACCGGGCTTTCTCTTTCCCATGCGATTCGGACCACATGGAACCAAGCCACATGTAACCACATGGTCCTCGGAACATCGTCGAAACCACAGGTCAAGTCCAGGGCCCCCAGGGTCCCTGTTCTCCTCACTGCGAGCATAGAAGACGCGCGTCACGGTCACCTCACAGGGCTCGCTGCCCCGGTCCACCCTGCTCGTCTGGTGTTCCAGGCGGAACCGCCCTGGATCCACCACATCCATCACGGGCCGGCGCCTGGGCCTCTGAATCCAACTGGCCGGTGGTTTATGACGAAAACAGACGGAGGAGTCTGAAGAGAACGGCCGAATCCAATGGATTCAGTCTTGAGAGAGATGGGAGTAAAGATTTGGAAGCAATCTAGCTTGAGCCTGAGCAGAGTGGTGTGAGCAGATCAGTTCTGAACAGGTTGTCTTTTCTGCCCAGTGGAAGTTCTCCGGGGTGAGCGAACAAGAGGTCAATCGAAGATGGGCGATGGACAGGTTCACTAAGACCAAAACCATATATAAACATATATAAACATATGTATTATAGAGGGTTGTTAAAACCCTGCTGAACCATCCGTCTCCAGCATCCGCATCCAGTCTTGCATTAAAGTGCGAGTCGTGGTCACCCCCTGACCAGCCCATCACCGACACCTTTGGGGCTTTCTGAATCTCGAAACTGGACTGTTTTGAGGGTTCCAGTTCCAAGTTACACCCAGTTCCTGCCAATGCCCGCTTCGTTTTTCTGCAAGGAGAACGGCCAGAAAAATCCGACACCAGCCGGAAACTCTGGGCATCCCGACGCTTCCATCGCCTTGGTATAGGACTGCCGGACCTGCGGCCCGTTCTCGAGCGTCGCATCGGCGGTGGGTCTCCCCGCAGTCGTGGGAGCTTGTTCCGCTTCTAACTGGTCCAATGGAGACTTACAAGTCGTGTGGGGTGGTCAATTCATGATATAAACCCCTTGGAAGCAGCTGGTTTTTAAGAAAACAATGAGACAGACCTCTTTTAGGCACCTCGAACGTGGTGTCCATCCATGTCCATCACCACTGCCCAAAAATGTGGGATGGTCAAAAATTACTGCTTCCCCAAAGGACATGGAAAGTCGAGTGAGTTTGGTGAGTGGCTTTCCATGTCCATCCCATCGACATGTGGAAAAAAAGATCGGTCATGTGGATCATCCCACAACATTGCTCCGCATTTGCCTAGCAACTGCCGTGCCAACGATTGATCATACCGATCATCCATCCCCTTCTTGAAAAACAAAACTCATGTTACGCAAAATCAGGTTCATCGTCCGTCCCCTCGTTGATCCAGGCGCCGAGCCGCTCGTCCTCGGGTCCCCCTGGGTCCCCTCGTTGGGAAAATCCGGCTCCAAATCGGCCCAAAAACCTCGCCTTCTTGAACCAATCTTTCCATGACCTCCCCGCGTGGGGCCCACGTGGCGCCGTTGTTGGGGGAGTCGAAACGTGACATCATGAACAAGCGAAGTGACATCATGGCAGTTGAAGTCAGTTGAAAGGACGAAGGAACATACTAGTAACAAGGTTCGCTACTAAGGGCTCCTGGCATCGCTACTAGGAGCAAGGACGCTGCTAGGGGCTCCTGGCCGTACTACTAGGAACAAGAAGCTGCTAGTAACAAGAAGCTACTAGGGGATTTCACCGAGCTGGGGGGAGTCAAGCTATGGGGTGCACAAGTTTGCGAAGCCCTGGTCCACAAGCTGGCTCTTAGAGTAAGTTATTTACCAGTGGAACCAACAACCCCCAACATGGAAGTGGAGGGCATGGCCCCTTGCTTCCATGTCAGTGAGTCAGAGTGTAATTCATAAATCCTGAGGCATGTTCGGTCCAGGAACACGACTTCCATCTCGAGTCCAGTCCCTGCACCTACTGGAGAAAACCAGTCTAACCACCCGGTCGGACGGTGCTGCTTTGGCTTTTTCCCCAAACAGTGTGGACACACTAGGGGTTCTTACGGTACTGGAAAAGCAGCTAGCTGGTGCTTAGATGGCTGAAGCGCGCGGCCGTGACCGGCAAATTCGCTGCTATTTACAGTACATTCATGCCTCTCGACATCGTCGAGGTGCACTTCGACTGCGTCGGCTCACAAAGTCTGGGTGGCCGCGACGGGTGCTTCTAACGACTGCGCTCTCATTGCGGCGCCGCTCCCATTTTGGTACATAGTGGTCACTTTTCGTGGCAGGCGCAAGGGAAACCTCGTGCTTTGGTGCTTCAAAGTCGACTTTTCGTGACAGGCGCAAGGGATCGGAGCTGTTTTACTTCGAACTGCAGTTTTCGTGGCAGGTGCAGCACTTTGGACATGGTGGTGATCGTCGAGGAGCTCAGATTTCGTGACAGGTGCAGTGAATCATGACTTTTGGGCATGTGGCTCACTCTCACTCACACTCACTCTCACTCGCACTCGCACTCTCACTCTCACTCTCACTCTCACACTCACACTCACACTCACTCTCCGACTCTCACTCACACTCACACTCACTCACCACCATCGCCACCGTCACCACGATCCCCACCTTCATCACCACCATCACCTCTCTGGACCCCAATGCGTCTAGATCTCTAGACTTTCTGCTTATAGACCTCACACACACACTGTTGGGGTCTCTTGCCGGGATAATTTGTAGTTCAAAACAGAATGTTCCAAGACTGGCACGCCCTTAGTTGGAACCGACCAAGTCCGCAGTCGACAGTAAGACGCCCCTTCTGTTGATGTGTCTCCCTCACAGAAAGTGCACATCTGAATTGATCCTCAATCACCTAGCGCATCTATCGAACGCCAACTTGCGGGTGAATGTCACTGCGCGTCAAGCGCGTATGCAGGATCTGAGCGTGAAAACACTGCGGGAGATCCCCCGATCGCCCCTGGTCGCTGGGTAGACTGGTCTATCCGAACCTTCCAGGGGATCGGAACGCCTGGGAAGTCTCCCAACGATACTCGTTTGCCTCCTTTGGGATCGGCCATGGCCGGCTTTCGTTGAAGGACATCAAAAAACCAGTCGTTGAGACGTCTGAAAGGGTTCTTTTGTATGCATGCGATGATGTTGACCGTTGATGAGCCAAAAAAGAAGAAATTGTTTTCTATTGTTTAGCCCGCTCCTCTCAACTAATATATACAAAGCCCCGGGGGAGTAGGCCGTAGAGGTAGTAGCTAGGTAGCGAGTAGAAGAGTTAGCTAGTAGATTAAGTAGCTACTACTTAGGACGCAGGATAGCTCACGCTTCTTCAAGGAATAAGAAGCGCTCGCACTAATGGTTTGGTTCCTAGATTTTTAGGGAAACTAGGAAATGGATCTAGAGTCTAGAGGCTAGATCGTCCCTTCGTGAGCCGAGTTCCCCCACTTGTCCACTGTCTTGAACTTCGCACTCTCCGTGGGCAGCTGACGCTGGATATCCTGGCAGCGCGCTCCAAGACATCTGGAAACGCGCACAAAGTACCAGAAGATGCGGCGAAAAGCAACGAATCGCTCAGTATCGTGAAGTAGCTGCTCTATTGATCGATCGATCTATCTGTCTATCTGTCAAAAGCTCGCTCGCTCGCTCTCTCTCTCTCTCTCTCTCTCTGTGCTCGCACCTTCCACATCAAGATTGGGCAGACCAAACGAGATGGGATCCCCTTTCTGAAGATGGATCTAGTCAACTCATCAGTGCTTTGTTCTCTTCGCTAGGTTCCGTGTCCACACTGCCCCTGGCCGTACTTCGGATCCTCACAATAGTCAGTGCATCCGCAGAATGGGACTTGCCCGCCCAGGAACCTGGGTTTGATCGACCAATCCATCAAGTTAGATGGAGAAACGGACACGAGTGTTGTTGCCCAAACACCGCCATCTCAATCAAAGAATATCCTCTCCCAAAGACAAACCCTACAAAGCCATCCATTAGAGAGTTTCCTTAGATCAAAACCACCATGTTCCCCTTGCTCGGTGGCGTGACGTTCCCTTGCCCCGATCACCAGCAGAATGCCAAAACCACCATGTCCACTGCACGGTCCCCTGCAGCACAGACACCTCCGCGGAGAAGATACTTTCCTTTGCGAAGCACGAGGGTACCAATGTCCGGGAGATGCGCTCTTCAGCCAACGTTGGCCAACAGGAACCTGAGCCACCTACGCCAGTCTGCGCCTATGTCTGCTGTTTTGGCTTCATGGACTGGACTTGGCTTCATGGACTTGGGAGTCCCTGGGGGAACATGATCAATGACTCAATACCAATTGACGTTTGGCTGTTGATCCGGAGCTTCAACCTGGTGACTTTGTGAGGCACCATCAACCCGACCATGACGGGAGCTTCGAACGCCCGAGCCAGCTGAATCCGCACGATTTCCATCAACTCCTCAACCATGAAATTAGGGACTTGTTTAATCAATCTAATAGTGATGACATGCCGACATTCCATGCGGAAGACGACCTGCCAAGAATAATCTGAAGCCAGGACTGTGCTGAATGATGACCATCATGAGCCATCGGAATTGAGACCCAATAAAAATAAAAGCCAAACGAACCAACAAGACTCGAAAAAATAAAAAAAGACACCCGCCCCAAAAAAAAAAGAAAAACGACTACAGTACAACTTTGCCGAAAACCGAGGCTTCTTTCACCTCACGTCTTCCTTTTTGTCGACTGCCTCCCTAGGCCTTGTGGTGTCACTCGTCCCGGCCCCAGCCCCTTCTGGGTGACGGCGTCGACCGCCCTCCGAGGCTCCAGATACATCCAGGCTCTCTGGACCTCGGTCGGCCCAGTCGGAACCCGGTGTGCACCAGGTCAGTGGACCCCTGGGGCCCTGGCGGGCCCTGGGGGTCGGTGCGTGCGAAATCACCGGGGGAGTTTGATGGGTTCGATGGCCTGATTCAGCATCCTTTTGAGGTCTGGAGTTCACCTGGAGTCCCAGGAACAGCCCAATGCACCAGTGTCAGGTCTTCGGACGGGGCGCCAGGTCTGCGGACGGCGGACGGCGGACGTCTCGTCTGTCTTCGGCGTGTTGGAAGGACAAGGACACCCCGGGCGTTTAAGGCCCGTCTTTTCGCAGAGTCGAGCAATCCCCAAGCAGTTGGGCCCCTGCTTCTTTGAACATACCACCAGTCCAAGGTGAACAGATCATGTGAGTCTGATAGTGGAATTGAGAACTGGCGAACTGGATTCTCCAAAATACCTCCTGAATCTCTGGTTTTCTTTTCTTAATGAAATGATGCAGAACATCACCATGAAAAAGTCATGTCAAGAAACACTGTCCTCTACTGGTAAGTGCGCTTCACTTCCGTCGTTGCTCTCACTCCAAACTAGGCCGCGTCTCCGCGTCGTCTCTCAGCGCCCGGGCTTGAAGCCATTCATCCAAGGTGTCGGTGGCCAACCTGTTCGCGAAACGAGGGATGGAGGGATGGGTAGATGATGGTAGCTTTTGGTTTGGCTTGTGGATCAACTGGGTTTTACTTGGGGTTACTTGGGTATGTGATGTCCAAGTGTTAAAGAGCAAAAAAGCGTTATTCTTTTGGGGTTAGTTGTGAAGCGAGTATATTATATAGCTTTTCACCCAAGACATCGGTGAATTGAATCATCAGTTCAGATGGCGCATCACCTCTCACCCACGAAATCACTTGCAGCTCACCCCTGCGGCTAAGGTCAAAGGACGGAAAAATGAAGCACGGAGACGGCAATTCTCCCTCCCGTCGGGTTTCGAACTCTGAAGTTGTGAGAGATAGGATCGATCTACTGTACTCAAGAATGTCCTTCTTGACACCCAAACAAAGCTGCGCCACTTAAACAAAGCGCCAAAGAAATGGTCAGGAGCCATGTACTTGACCGACTGGAGAAAGGAAATCCCCCCAAAAAAACACCAAAACCCACGGCCTAATCTTCTGCTCCCAGATCTCCACATTTTGTCGGATGTCACGCACAAAGCGAGACCTCGAGCGCCAACGTCGAGCAACAGCGCCGGCGCCGGGCCGTTTGAGGATCGAACCAGAACCGCCACGAAGCCCGACGCCGAGGGCGTCGCCCGGGCCCAGGGCTCTGGGGTCGCTGTTCGAAGTCGCAGAGCTCGACTCGGAGAATTAAGACCATGAAGTTGACGGAGTCCCATGCTCTCTTTTTTCGCAGGGGTCTCTGGGTGGAGGTCATGGAGGTCCTGGGGCGTCATGCGAGTGACTCCTGGGCGTCTCTGCGAACATCTGCCGGTTGGGTTCGATGGTTAACGGTTAAGCTCGTCGTGGAAGAGTCCAAACAGGACAGGGAACGGGAGGGAGGAGACCTTCCTCGACCCTTCGCGACCCTTCCAGGCTTTTGGAAGGTCTGTTGGAGCTTCTTTGAGGGAAAAAAATGGAAAAAACATAACATCTACAGCTGTAGACTGCATCTCAGACTGGAAAGGTATGGTTACTCTTTTGGTCATGAGGAGTCTATTCACAAGCCAAAAACCACTTCTTGAGCCGCCAACCCCATCATCGTCTGGATCTGTACCGAGTGGTCCTGCATCGCGGAACCGGCGCTCTCACCGCTCGCACCGCGCGGACGGAACCGCCCGACCGCTCGGAACGGTCGACGAGCCGTTGGTTTTGACACACCACCAGCACCACGGTGGTGATTGGAGGAAAAATACACATAGGATCAACGAGGAGGAAGGGGTGTCAAACAAAACCATCCGAAGTCTGTGGTACTGAGACATGTGTCCTTCTGGGTTTCTGAGTAGCGTAGGGTATCTCAAATCAGGGGAACGGTGGATCTGCTTGTCCTTCCAGTGCGCCGAACGGCACGTCTTGGTCCGCGACCAGCATGAGAGACGGCAGTCATCTGACGGCAGTCATGGGCATGCAAACGTATGACCGTTGCGCTATTTCTTTGTTGGAAATGTCCGGAAATGTCCTGTTCATGTCCCACATTCGTCCACCTTCTATATCTGCTGCAGTCTTGCCAAAACTCCAGATGCACATGAGGTTGCCTCTTTCAGGCCTATTGTTGTCCTCAGCTTGCTTTATAGAACGTGGGGCAGCATTCGCAGCCGACAGCTCCTGGCGCAGTTGTCGCAGTACCTCCCTGCTGAACAAGTCGGCTTTATCCCTGGACAGGAAGCAGCTGGCATTTGGGCATACTGGCAAGCACTGATCGAACTCAGTTGCAGAGGTGGTTCCGCTCTATGTGGATTGAGCTCTGACATAGTACGGGCTTTCAATTGTCTGCCCAGGGCTCCTTTGTTCTGGATGATCGACTATATTGGTACGCCTGGCTCCGTGACGGGGCCATGGGCCACCTTTCTGTCGACCATGTCGCGGACCTTTGTGGTGCAGGGGGAGCTCAGTCAGTGCTCGCTCAGCACCGTTGGCTTCCCTGAAGGAGATGCTCTTTCAGTGTTTGCGATGTGTATCTTGGACTGGACCTGGCACATTTATGCTCAACAGTTCTGCCCTTCGGCCAATGCCTACAGTTATGTCGACAATCTGGGCCTTTTGAGTTTGGATGCGGGCTCACTTGCAATTGGGTTCTCCACCATGACCTCCTTCTTCAAACTTTGGAGATTGGAAATTGACCTTGACAAATCTTACTGCTGGGCTGTTGATGGCGACAATCGCAAGGCTCTTGCACAGTTCCCACTTCAACGACTTGAACATGCCAAAGAACTTGGTGGATCACTCACCTTTGGCGCACGACCAAGGGTTTGCGACATCAAAGACAGGATGTCGCGCCTAGATGATCGTTGGCCAGTATTGAAGAGATCTGCTGCCTCTTTGACACAGAAGTTGCTTGCGCTTTCTACTGTGTTTTGGCCGGAGGGGTTACATGGCATTCTTTCCTGCAGGTTCGCTTACTCACACCTGGATGTCTTGCGTCGCAAAGCCGCTTTGGCTTTGGGCTGGAGGAAGGCGGGATCATCCCCTGCCATGAGATTCCTGCTCTCTGATATGCCGTTTTCGGATCCTCTGCTATGGCACCACAAGACTGTCCTCATGGATTTCAGGAGGCTTTGCAGGAAGTCCTCTGACTTTTTCATGCATTGGGCTACGTTTTTAGCTGCCTACAATGGAGATCTGCTAGTGGGCCCTTTCTCTAAGATGCTTGAAATCACATCGCATCTTGGTTGGAGTTTTCTCAGCGCAGACAGGATCCTGGACCACTGGCAGGTTGAATGGTCTCTGCTCAAGGTTCCTTGGCACTGGTGTGAACATCGTTTGCTGGATGCATGGGCTTGGCGTGTTGCACAAGGCTTTCGTAGCCGCAAAACTGCCGAAGATCTACATGGTATCGACCTTTGGGCACATCGGAGCTTCACACGCTCACTTTCTTCTTTGGAGAAAGCACAGCTGTCAGCCATCTCGAGCGGGTGCTACATTGACAATGCGAAGTTCGGCAGGTATGATGTTGCCATTGATCGGTTGTGTCATCACTGTCAGTGCCCTGACACACTTGAACATTGGTTTTCATGCCCCCTTTTGGTTTCCCTCAATGGACCCTTTAGAGCCACTTTCCCTGATTTTGACTCTTGGCCCCGTTGTTTTAAAAACCATGTTTTGCTGCCACAAGCTGCGCTGGTGACCGAACTCGCTGCTTACTTTGACGCACTGCCAGATTGTACGACTGAGTTTTTGTCCAGACCATGTTTTGGCAAGAACCATGTTTTTACGGATGGAGCTCATTTTCAACATAGACAATCCCGGGTTGCTCACTCTGCATGGGCCTCGGTGAGTGCTACTACGGGTCAAGTCATTTGTGGAGCCCCTCTTCATGGTCCATGCCAGTCAATAGGTAGGGCGGAGCTCACCGCCCTTGTGAGCACGGTCAGAGTGGGACTGCTTGAGACACAAGCTGAAGTTCATGTGTGGTCGGATTCCCAGCATATTGCACTTGGGGCCGCCTTTGTGCAGAACACGGGGGTCATACCACACACATGGGAGCACCAGGACCTTTGGCTGGGGCTCAGCGCAGCCCTGGATGCCTCAGAAGTCGGACAGTTTTATTTCCATTGGGTGCCCAGTCACCTTGATGAGAGGCACTGCGAATCGCCATTTGAAGACTGGCTTCGTAAGTGGAACGATGTCGCAGATCGAATTGCTGGATACATGAACTCCAACCGTCCTTCACAAGTGTTGGCATTGTTTGAACGGGTCGCCGCTTACGATATTTGCTGGCGACACCGCCAAGAACATTTGTTGCAGTTCATTGTTTCTGCAGGAGATTTGCGAACTACCGAAGAAGAGCACATTGAGACTGTCATTTCCAGTGACACCGACTCAGGACTTCCACCTACCCTGACGACTGCACTGGTGACGACAGGAGACCTTCAGGTGGAGCCAGGCCGTTTGCCGCCCGCTTTCTACAAGGAGCTGGTCGGCTGGCTGCGCCGCAGCGGAGGTCCTGAGAGCCGTAGAACCGTTTGTAGCTTTCTCGAATTCGTTTTTCTTTACGCTTTCGTTGACTCCGGCTTGTTTCCCTTTGAAGAAGTTGGAGGCCGCAGAGTCATGAGGCAGGTACAGGACCTTTTTGTTCGACCGACGGTCACCACCATGGTCGATATGGTTAGGGTTGCTCTTACCGATCTCTGTCGTCAGTTGGACGTCGATTTTGTTCGGGTTCCCTCGGGTGTTTTGCTTGGTCTTGGTATCCATACCCCTATGTTTGGTATTCCTATCGATTTGAACCCTTCTCATCTCGACCTTGGTCGTCGGCTTTTGCGGAGATGGACATCATCTCGACCCATTAGGAGGGCGGCTGACCTTGCTCGCCCCTTTTCAGAGACTTGAGCCGCCTCGCGGCCGGACACGCAGCTCGCGGCGCCGCTCACGCCGCGCCCGAGCGACCGAACGTCAGAGATATGTCTGCTGCAGTTCGGCCAACTATCGGTCCAACACCCAGACCTGCTTGTCACAAAATATCTGCATGAAGATGCACTGTCGATAGATGTTTTTCATGCTGTTTCGCTTCAATCCCAGTCTCATCCAGTCTCCCTGTGCCCCAACTGTCCTCCAACTGTGTGATGATATCAGAGACATCCCCCAAGATCCACTGCTCCTCTGGACGGACCACCGCGAGGGAGACGGCGACTCAGCCGTCTCGGACCGGATGATGACTGGGTTTCAGGGAAGAAACCCATCGTTTTGGGGGTGAGGCCCCGAGTTCGAGATCCACCCTGTGAAGTGTCATGATGTTCATCTCCTATGCCCGATCTCTGAAGGGGCTTACACCCTGAACCATCCACTTGCGCCCGCCAACCATCCATCACAATGACTCGTGTTTCCCGGACCGGATGTGTCGAACATGTCACTCGGTCGATTGAGCTCTCTGAGCTCTCGCACCCGGCGGTGCTGCTGGATGGGCAACAGTAGATCATTCCAGGCATCCATCACCTGACGCCGCGCGCCCGGGCCGCGCCGGCCCTGCGCCTTCCGACCTCCGGTACCTTCCGACTCGGTGAGGGATCGGGCGGAGGGTCCCACGCGGTCGGCGCGGGCGGCGCCTTCTGGAGCTGCTGCTCCAGGGCGAACTCGCCGCTGGCGATGCCGCTGATCTCGGCGATGAAGTCCTGGAGCGGCGAGGAAGTCGCGCGAGGCGAGGGAGAGCGTTGGAGGGGTGGAAGGAAGAGGGGGGGGAAATGGAGAGATGGATAGAGATGGTGGTTTGGGGTGGGAGGACCAAGAGGATTTCTGGCACAGAGGCACACTCCAAAAAAGAGAGAGAGAGAGATAGAGAGAGAGAGAGAGGAGGGAGAGCATGATCATTCAACAATCTCATTGTTACCGCGTGTTCTGGAAAAAGCCGGCCGCCAACTGTGCGCTGTGCCCCTTGTTGTGTCTTAAAGGTTGACTGCTTCAAGGGATCCCTTTAAGCCACCAAATGCCACCAACAGCTCATCTCCCTTCCCAAAAGATATGCGACGACTGGGGCTGAGATCTCAGCCATGTCAACGAAAGCGAAGAAAACCCCCTGGGCCCGCAGACGTTCAAGCACAGCTTCGATGCGTCACGCACCAGACAAAAAAAAAAAAGACGCTCTTGGAACAAGACCTCCGCGCACGGGTCAGACCATCCGCGGTTCGAACAGATCTGACAGGTGTTCCAATCCCCTGCCTTCTTGTCGAAGACCTTGTGTGCAATCAACTGGTTCAGCGTCACCTGCTGGGACGCCGGGTGCTTCCACTCAATCTCCTGGCAGCGCTGGAACCACGCCCTTTTGCGGGCGCGCGCGCGCACGCGCTCAAACACGTCGAAAAGGAACGAAAGACCAGGCGCCAACTCCAACTCATGACGAGTGTCTTGGGGAGGTGCTTGAGACAGAAAACGCTCCTGAAAGACCGGCCTTTCAAGGAATGGGCCCAAGGAGTCGATCGTGCGATCGTTCGGGTGGACGAAGTCCGAAATGTTTGATGTGCACCTGTTTATTGATGTCATTTGGTGCGCTCAATTCAACCCCCAAGTGCCCTAAGCTCTGCCCCGACCCTATTAACCACCAACCAAGGCAAGTTGCTCATGTCTCGACAAGGCAAGGAACTTTCTGCGTGTACACTTGGCCAGTTCTCTCGTGGTCCCAAACCAAAAACAAACAAGCAAGCGAACTCGTTGACATTCGTTGCCCGGCCCCCCCAAAAAACTGAACTGAAGCATGAACCGTGCCTTCTTATAGTGAGGCACCACCGGAATCCTTCTCTGCGTATCGAAGTGTCTCAAAGGGCGTCCCCTGTTTGCTTCATGTTCATCATGCAGCTCGCTTACTGCTCCGTCCGCTCCCCGTGCTCCGGTTGCTCCCGGTCTGACTCCCGATGCTGCTCCGCCCGCGGCCGTCGTCTCCTGTTTGATCTTGGCATGATGCCGATCCCTGCGGCCCGAACGAAGCCGGGTCGCGGGTCGCGGGTCGCGGGTCGCCGCTGCGCGGCTGTCGTAGTAGGGGGGCCGCACCCGGGCGATGTGGGGCTGATTTTTTGAATTCGGTGACTTTGGATGTATAGGTGATTCAAATCTGCCAGCAGGTCACGGTGGAGTGTTCAACTTGCAAACATGTAGTCGACCATCATGTGAGAGGTCTTTCAAGATCTTCCAAGATTCATGTCGTGTGTGCATCTTATTTGAGGCGTGGCCATCGCCTGTCAAAGCTCACCGCGTCTCGGTGACTCCCGCGTCGTTTCCCGCGTCTCGGTGCGTCTCGTGCTCCTGGGCTGCCCGACTTCATCGCTGGGTTTCCCAAGTCCATAATGCAGGGCATGTGGCCCTTCACTTCATCGATCTGCGCCCTGCGAGAAACCAAAAATCACCAACAAAACCAGCCCAAATCACCCTCCGAGAGACGCTCGCAGGTGTGCGGGGCGAGGCGACCGGCGAAGGCTCATTTGTCATCATTATATTACATCTTTTGGTTAGTTTGAGGATGGCACGTTTGTAGCATGTCTTCCTGTCCTGCTCACTCCAAGACCTTCCAGAACCAGCTCTTTGGACCAGGAAACCTCCAGAGGGAGCCGTCGTACCCTCAACCTGTGAGAAAACCAGAACCGCTGCGAAGCGGAGGACGAAGCTTCCCTTTTCAAGTTCACCGTAAATTCAGTTGTGGCGTGAGGAACTCAACCAAAAATAGTTCGGTGGGATCAATCAGTGTAAAGGTTGAACATCCAAATATCTGAAAACGTCTTCCTGACGCCTTCGTCGCCTTCCTTCCGACCTGAACCGTCGAACGAAGGCGAACGATGACAGACCCCGAGACCGCGCGGCCGACCCAAAGCAGAGCGCGCGGATGCGCGCGCGCGCGCGCCTAATGTCTTGAGCCACTTTGTCTCCTTCCAAGCTGCGCCTGAGCGATCTGGCACCCGTGCACCGAAGCAGTGCGGGTCAGGCGCAGGGTCAGGGCGGTCTGGACGTGAGACGCGGCGCGCGTGTTCGGAGCGACTGCGCCTGCGTGGGGTCGAAGGTTCAAGGATCTGGGAGTGACGCAGATGAAGGAGCACCATCAGACAGGAACGTCCAAGACCTCTCTGCTCGAGACTGGTCAATGGAAAAGCAAACAGACGACCTGCGGGTTCCTGTGTCTTATCTTTTGAACGTTGTCATCTGTTTGGGGGTCACTGGGTCACCATAGAAGATTTTTGGGTGTCTACCAACCCTCTTGATCCTCGATCGAGTGCCAAGCTCCGGGGCACGATTCCTGCACCGCCGGTGTCTAGGGCTACTTCTACTCCAATGCCTTGCAGGTTCAAGGACAAAGGCCGGTTTGCTTGTTCAGGGGTGTTGGAAGCTCCTTCACAACAAGGCTGCTCCAAACAAAAGCTCTGGGAATGTCCCATATTGCGCGGTGCGGAAGGAACAAGTTCTCGCCTTTCCCTATCCCAGACACTCCATGGGACTGCCATAAATGCCTACATTGGGGTGGTTTTGGGGGTCAATGGGGCGGCATATATGGCAGTCCCATGGGTCGTGTCTGGGTATGGTTGCTGTACTAAATCCGAGACATCCACTTATGCGCGATGCCTAGGACCGCCTGGTTCAGTGAGGGCTCCTAACACCTGACACTTCCCCTTTCGCAAATTACAAGAAGTTGATCTCCTTCAGCATCTACTCATCACCTCTCTCCTCGAGGAAGCCCAAAAAGCCGTCGCCATCGCTGGCCCGGGCCCAATCGGGTGCTCGGGGGCGGGCGTGAGCTGATACGCTGTCTTGGAGAAATCCATCACCTGGCCACAAGGAGGTGGACCTCCTGGCCCAACTCTTCCCCCCGGTCGGAGGTTCAGAGCATCGGCAGGAATGGTCGACATATTTGTGATATCGATGTTTGAAGTCCATATACTACTCCCAAGAACAGCGTGAGAACACGCTGCAAGACCCTTAGGCCCATCTTTCGGTGGAAACGTTTAAGCCACTCAGCTCCGGCCACAAGAGCAAACCAGGAAGAAAGCTCCAGAAGGTTTCAGTTCGACATCATTTGGCCAACTATTTGAGGCGTTTGATGGGATTCTAATGGAGATGACCATCCATCAGATCAACTGTGTTGCTCAGGTAATTTTGGAGCTTTTCATGCAGGCCGCCATGTAGGGATGTAGGGAGAAAAATGTGCTGATCCTCCTAGCAAATCAACGTCCAGCACCCACCTTCTTGTTCATTTCCTCCACATTGAACTTGTTGTGCTCGTCCTTCCTCCAGATGTCTTCCTTCTTCCAAACACCATCATACTGAGCCTGGCAAGGCAAACAATCACAAGTTCCCGAAAAACTGAGTCCATAGGTTGTTCTGCTGTTTACAGTATCCTTTTGGCTTGGATTTGGCTGGGGTAGCTTTGCCAGATAAAGTTCTATTTCGCAAACCCGCATGTCTGGTCACAATGCCAGCAGTGCCTCTATGCTGCACCACATTACAGCGGGCAGGGGGGTGCAAACCGGACCCTCAGCGAATGAATTTCGAAAGCCCTGCAACCCCGTCTTCAAGTTTAACTGGTGACACGTGGTTGGACAATCTCACCGACCACTTGCATGACATGAAGTTTTGAAACATGGAAAAGGCGTCTCTGCCTTTTGTAGAGGACGCCCGGCCCTGAAAATCAAAAGCAGGCATCTTATGCTCTCCATGAAACGACGTCATCCACAGGTCACCCCTCCAATTCTCAAAAAGGTTGCCGCCCGCTGAGACATTTTTCGCGGTCATGCTTCCACGGATGCCAGCCAAAGAGGTTGGAGGTCTTTTCTCGCTTTGTCGGTCAGCTCTTCGATTATCATCTGCGTCTCAGAGACTTTCAGAAATCGGTGTCGGGGGTGAACTTCTCCGGATTGGACCGATGACGGAGACACGATCGACCATCCCGATCACTTCGGCCCCGCCGTGGTCGTTTCTCGTCCATCCCGGGTGGGCCGGACGTGCCTTCCAATCACTCGCGAGGTTCCAAAGCCTCGATTTCTCTGTGAAGAGTTGCTTGGCCTGAGCGGAGCAAGCCAAACCCCAGGCTGTTGGAGGTCGGGGCGAGGCTGGGACGGTGATGTCTCTATTTGGGACTGGACTGGAGATGCTTGGCACAAGCAACCGGAAATGGACATGGAAAAAGAACATGGAAATGGACTGGAATTGTTGACCGACCCTTCCGTGGACCTCGGTTCATACAGAAATAACGAGATGAGAAAACGGTAGGAAACGTCCTTCCAATGCATCTTAATAAAGATACGTGATGCCCCCCTCGTGCATGTGTTTCCCATGTGTTTCACTCGGATCCTCCAGTCCGGTCGATTTGGCTGGTGCGACTCGCCTGTCCAGTTTCACCATCTGTGGCATCGAGGTATAGACACTGAGGGCAACCTTCTGAGGCACAAAGACCAGGCCCCCAATGAAAACATGTAGAATCATGTGTTGTTTTGCTTCCAAAACCTCGTGTTTTTAGGTACTGCAAACCTCGAAACCAAAGAACCGGTGGTCTAAAAAGCATAATCATGATAATAGCAACAGCAATAGATAGTAGTAATCAAAATAAAGTAATCATAATGTATTTATATATATATATATTACAGTATATGAAAGACGGTCACCTCATGTTGTCACCTCTGTTTACGGATGGCCCACCTTCGAATCAGATCAGCTCCAAGTTCCAGCGCGTTCCTCCAGCGCGTTCCTGGCCTTATCCACCTCCACGAACTCGAAGGGCACCGGCACATGCAGCAACGCCTACCAGCGGCGAGTAGAACGGACGGACAGAGAAGAGGCATGGACGGGTGTTTTGGGACGGGGCGGAGACTTCCATTTCTAGGCGTTGGGAGAGACCCTTCCGTCTCCCCAAATCCAGATCGCTCACCGGATCGCTCACCTCTTCGGACCTCTCCAGGAGCGGACGTCCGAAGGGCCAAACTTACCCGCCAGGGCCCGGGCCACACATGGATCCGCCGCGAAAATCCTGGAAGTCGCGAACTCGCGTTGTACGGATTCCGCGCCTGGTAGTCGTTGTAGTTCTGCGCTTTCTCTTCCAACTTGGACACCGCTGCCTCGAGGCCGGGGTGGGCGGACCCGGTGTGGTCTGCGAGCCGAAAGGTGACAAAGAATGGGGGGTAGGCCCTTCCTCAAGGGCTCTTTTTCTTGGAAGATGAAATGCAAGCTGCTCGGAATTGTACGCCAAATGTTTCCTAGAAAGTTGAAGAATTGAGAACTGAAACCCGTGCGTCTTGATCGCCCTCGCCCAACAGCCGGACCAAAGGGAGGGCATCCGACAGGCAAGGATTGAATGGCCGAGAAAGTAGACGGGAATGGAACATCTTCATCTCTCAAAGGATACCTGGACCCTCCTGTCGGGGTGCCCTGTCTGGAAGCCTATAGGTAGTGTGGGGTAGTCCAGCCAGGACACCCCGACAGGATGATCCAATCCAGATCGCATCCATCAGTGCTTCAAAAAGAAAAAGGTTCTTGGGAGAATAAGATTGCTCCAATTGCAAAGCTGGAAGCTGAAGGTTGGAGGCTACAGGCTATTTACAGTATCCTGCATATATGCTGTGATTCCTGGACTTCCAAGACGCTGTGATTCCTGGACGCCTGGTTCGTAGCTCATGGACGCACCCTCGTTCGTAGACCCACAAAGAGAAAACGCCCCGGCTCGACGGCTCGCTCGTTGTCCCATCCTCCAAAAACATGCATGCGTGTTCACCTCCTGGTGAGAACCTTCACCCCATTGCTTGCGTTTGGACGCACCACGCACGGCGGGGGAAGAGGAGAAGCGCCGCACCGGCTCGGAAGAGGAACAGCGTGACGTGACCGGTCGGGAGTGGAGGCCTGAATGGTCGCGAGCTCTTCCAAGACCACGTCGGGAGTCATCAAATTGCCCTACGTCAAAGGTGCTGGCGCCGGGAATGTCCGGGAGTCCATGGTGTTGGACACCTGGTTAGGGAGGAAGGAGGACATCTTGGCACCTGGAAAAGGACATCTTGGCACCACCATCTTGTCAAGCTTGAAAAGGTCTTTGATAAAGCTACCAGATTTTCTGAGTCTTTCGATCTGGTGAATACTGACCATGTTCTTGAAGAGTCAAACAGTAGAGATCTCTCAGCAAATCTGTGACATTGCGGAACCGACGTGCTGCGTAAACAAGGTCCTTTTTTCGGATCCTGTACACTCATCGGCGACTGCAATCTATGTTGTGTGCCGCATCTGAGCACCCACGATATTTTCAGTGTTTTAGGCGATTCCAGGTGTTTTAGGCGATTTACAATGGATTGGTCGAGACACAACCTCCAACAATCATGGAAGTGGAGAAGCGGCCTGTTAATAGGAAAACAGTCTTCCAAGGGTCATGTTCCACTTCCATGTGTGTTGGATTGAACGGTATCCAGGGGTGCCACCATGAGCTCCCAAAGACTGAATCATCTTATTATAAACCGTCTATATACCAGCACCCTCCAACAGGTGTTTCCTGGTGACAACAGGTGCCCAGAAACCACCTGTTAGTGTCCCAAAACAGCCTGTTGGAGGGTCCTGGTATATATCCTTCTGGGAGTGATTTTTGCAGGCAAGTACCTTACCCACACAGTGAGGTCATCACACTGGGTACAAACCAACCAACATGCAGATATGTTCCGTTGAGCCCAACAAACCCCGACTTCACAACCCATTTCTTATTCAATCAACCTTCTGTTGAGAAGGGAACATACCGCCACCGCGAAAGGTCGAGTGTAGATCATGACGTCAGCCTTTTCGCTTGTTTCAAAGGTATACACCAAGTGTATGATACCCTTCTTGGCAATGCGGTTCCATGTCCGCGCACTTAAGCATTAGCATGCAGAGAGAAAATCGGATCCCAAATGTCCACTGACTCGAAGCACGGTCCCTGTGGTCCACAGCGTGAAAAAAGACACGAAAAGCGGGGTCCGCCCGGTGCCTGTGTCACGAAACAGCCGGAGCGTAGCCTGAGTCCAGTCCCACAACCGCTCCGGGGTAGAGCTTTCTCCCACAGAAACCCCAAATCCAAATGCCATTGCTTTGAGAACAGCGCGATCTCCGCTCCGCTCGTGGTCGATCTGTCACAGCTCGCTCGGATCTTCACAGCGAGTAATCCGCAAGTCGAGTTTTGGGACATGAACAGACGGTGAGCTTGGTGGTCGCCACCATCCATGCGGGACAAAACGAATGGTTACTGTGGAATGTTGATGAATAGGTTGTCCAACCCCATATTCAGAGGTTGTCCCAACCCGCGATGTCTGGGGAGCCTTTGATTCGTCAACACATTCTACAAGATGGATTGGGATTCTCTGGACCTTGCCACCCAACAATGACGTAGGGCCTGTGACGTTCACCGCCGAGAAACTGCTCGGACATCTTCTTGGCCTCTTCTTCTGCCGCTTGCGAGACCTGCTGAACATGTCTGGTTGAAAGGACTTGGGAGGTGAGAAGCCCCCTACCAAACCCCAAGACCAAAACCTTGTGTTGGCCTGAAAAAAAGGTTGGTCTTATGAATTAAAGATCATTACAAAGCCTATATATATATATATATCACGCTTTGGGCGGCCTCCTTCTTCTCGGTGGACGTCATTAAGAACGTCCTGCCACTGAAGTTTAGGGGGGGAGGATGATACCCGTCCGTGCAAAGGGATTTCCCCCAATCGGTGGCCACCTGCCTGAAGTTTGGGGAGCCAAATCGAAACATCAACGGCTTGGGGTCCTGAAGAACCATCGGAGGAACCCTAAAGTGAAAAGAAGAAGAGCACCAAAGTCCAAAGTCTTTGCCTAGATGCAGGGGTTCAGAGGTTCAGCCGCCTCCCAAGCACCAGCAACACCAGCAGAACAACCAACAGCCCGACGTCTCAGATCATCTTCTCCAAGCCACGCCGTTCAGGTTTTCCACTTGCTCATCTGACTTCTCTCGGATGTAGGCGTTGGCCTGATGAAGGGTTCACCCGACCCGTCCGGTGAGTAGAGTCGTCTCGTGGTTTTCTTCGTCTCCCTCCGGTGCTTCGAGGTCTCTCAGGTGAGGTGCATGATGCTTGAGGCTGAGGTGGATGACATGTGAAGGCACGAAGGCGCGAAGGCGATGATCCTCGGCAGGTGTGATGACCCAGCAGGGCAGGAATACGCTCCGACTCAGTAGCATGGAAGTGGAAAACCGCAGAAAAAAACAAAAAACATGGTTCGTCTAGAGGCAAATAATCCTCATGGATCCTCATGGCACGTTGTGCTATGCGAGGTCGAGGCATCAAAGGAGGCCTGCCAAGCAATGTAGTCCTCTGAGTCACTCTGATGATTCATGCTGATTTATGGCTCATGGCTCTCCCCACAGACGCCCACCCTTCGACTCGCTGACCGATGGCCCACATGACCCAGAGCCCGCCTCAATGAGCTTCTTATCCGTGAACTCGCTCCCTTTGGCCTGAAGGAACTCCAGGTTCTCCAGCTCCTGAGACGAGGACGGAGACCATGCTCCCCAACAAGTCTCATGAAATACCGTACGTTTCAGAGTAGATGGCACTGGCACCCCTATACATGTCATTTAGAGGGGGGTCCATATAAACCACCGACATTGGGGATTGTGCCATCTACTCTGAACCCACTGTAGAGACACCTTTTTCCAGAGGCATCCGCAGTTCTCCAGTTGTGGGGAGCTTCTTCCGTGGGATCGGACGCAGGACGCAGCCTGGCCCTGCATACGAAGACGTCACCAAGACATCGTCCAGACCTTCCACATCAGAACGAGAAGCCCGAAACCAAAAGAAACTCAAGGCAAACCGTGCCGAAACCGGCGCCCAGCAGACCTCCATCGGACCCTACTATATCATGGGTGCTTTCACCACTGCATCTGTCGGGCCTTTCTCATTTTTGGGGGCAAGCGACGACGGAGGCACTCGGCCAAACACCGCCCATTCCACCGCTGCACCCGCTCCGTTCCGCCCACGCGGACGTGGTACTGCCGCAGCAGCTGATAGATCGACTCCACCTGCGATCCGTGGTGAACACCGAAAGAACGTTCGGCCGTAAACGCGCGAACCCAGCCGAACGGGTGGAAGAATCGTGGGCTCGGTGGGGAATTGCATGCATGTGTGCCGGAACCAGATTTGGCTGAAAATGGAGAAAATGGTCACGCTGTTCAGCTGCCGAACTCGCCTCCTCTCGGGCTTCTTCCAGCTCCTGTTCTTGAAGTTTGATCTCGTTGAAGGCCTCGCAGAGTACGTTCAATCGCACCCCTGAACCCCTCCCCTCACGAGGGGAGGATTTCATCAAGGACATCAGGGTAAACCTGTTTCTTGGCGGCTTGAAGCTATGGACGGATGACAGAAAGGATGCTGTAGGGCTTCCTCTATTACTGGAACCCGCTTGGAATTGTGGTGATCCCGGCCTTGATGTAGTCGGCAAAGCCACTGAGCGTCTTCGGCCGATCGTCGAGAACCTGTGGAGATCGAGATCTCGGCAGATGGGCAGATCGCACAGGGGCTCGAAAGTCCTGGTCAACATACCTGGACCTTCAAAGGGGTGTCCAATGGAGATCCCTATAGGTAGTATGCCTCTTGATCAATGCCTTTTTCCGATGGGCATCCAAGAGCCCTGGATCCTGACAGGGCTAACATGGCGCCGAATGCTCAATGAAGCATGCAAAGACCATGGCACCTCTCCACAACCCACAACCAATATTATGGGTTAGTGCCATCAACTCTGAATTCACTGGATCCGGAGGTGTCTAACGCATCAGAACCTGCTCAGAATCTGTGATGTTGTTCAATTTGTTGGGAGGAGCAAAAGATATTTCGCTCACGCTCTGCCGGACCGTGAGCGACACCAATCAGGAGTTCCGATTTCGGGGTGCCCAGGGGTCCCCATGGTCCACTCACTCTAGAGGCTAAAACGATCATTTTGGAACTGCTGGAACACGAATCTTGCCATTTTTGCCACCATCCCAGAGGCGCTGGACGCACACTCCGGCTTCTCGCGCCCCACATACACCCACGGGTTGGCATCGTCGGGCCTTGTTCGCTTGGTCGAAGCGACGCTTCACCACCTCGCACTTCTTCCGCGCGATGTCCTCCAATGCCCTGAACCGCCCGCTTCGCTCGCAGTTTGGGGTGTGCTGGCTGGTGGCTGGATGGTTTCTGGTGGCTGGTCCTTTTCGTCAGTCAAAACTGGAGGTAGGAATTATGAAGTGTATGCATGTCTATATATGCATCTTAAAAGGTTGTTGCATCATGCCTGCGGTCTGTCTGCAAGCGTTTCAGGTGTAGAAATCCAACCGCAAGATGTGGCATCCACGACGGTGCGTTGGATTCTCTTGAGGGAAAGCGTTTGTCATGTATTGTTGACATGAAACAAGAGGTGCAACTGATTGCATCGTTCACTGGCCACCTGCAGATCCTCTTTCTAAGACTTGGATCAATCAAGACCCGCCTCACGTGTTTCACGTCAGCTGCAAGTCGTCGTGCGACAAACGACAACGAGCGCCTTTAACTCTATCCTCTCCAAGTCGGACTCATTTGACCCCTAAGAAGTGGTGGATCATGACTACCAAGTGAGGTTAAACCCAAACACTCCATGGGACTGGAATATATCCCTGGGGTGGTTGACCTGGGTCCATAGGCATATGTTCGATAAATGGTCCAAAGTTGGCATACTTTCTGTTTGGGAAATGAGTCCAAACGAAAGTTCCAGGTCAACTCCGCGTCGCGTCGCGTCGCGCACCACGCCGGTGCTCCGGAGATGGAGATGGATGGCCTCTTCATCGCTGCCAAGCCCACCTTGGGCACCGGTTGCAGGCCTTGGTGGGTAGACGGCACCGGTGTGGCGGGCAGGGCACTGAGCTGGGGATGGAGAGGTGGATGGAGGGCATGAGAACCACACGTAAAAGCACACACCCTCACACATCGAGTGCGGGTGGTTCACTGGTTCATAGATCCTCTTGTTCGTAGTGTACCTCTTTGCTGCATATTGAAAATGGATCGACGTAAGGGGGGGTTCTAAAAACAAAAAATAGGTCAGCTGCTCTTTCAACTTTACGGCCAACCCCACATCTACGGCTCTGGGTCAAAGCCACAAACTTTCCCATGAACTTCCAATGACTCATGTTTAAACCTGTGCCTCGCAGAATCCACGACCAAGAAGTAAAAGGAGTCAAACTTTGACTTTGACTCTTCAGGGTATGGTATCTCAACCTCCCCTTCGACTCCCCCCCTTCGACTCCCCCCCTTGCTCTGCACCGGCGTCGACGTCGCGTCCGCGTCGTACGGCTTTCCGCGTGAAGACGATGCGACGTGTCCGGGCGTCCGAGCTCTCGCGAAGGTTGCTGCCGTTGATCATGATGATGCCAACCTTGGGAAAACCATCACCCGTCGACGGGTTTGAAGCCGAGGTTCGGTCTTTTTCGATGGAAAGACACGCCGGGATGATCTACCAAAGCCCCAAGTAAGTGTTTTAAAGTAGACCTTATTTCCATTTGTGGCCTCTATCTCTGTGGCCAAAATGGAGTATGACTGTTTAATTTCAGGCATGTATGGAACTATGTTGCACTGCATGTTGCACTGTATGTTGCACATTATGTTTGGTATATGATAGTTGTGGGGGGGGGGACTATCCTATGTAACAGTCCATGTCGCAGTTTATGTTGCATTTGAGGGCAGGGGCAGGAAACATTGAGTTTATTGTGTCCAATGTGTCCACTGCTATTTAGAGAGGCACAGCACACCCATGTAGCTAACATATCATTTTCCAGCCTAGGTAGAACTTGGGCAGAAACCTTGTGTAAAAATTCAGTGGGTCCAGCTTCAAACTCAGGGGGGCCCACTCCAGAGGCGGACACATAAGGAATGTAGCCGTGTGGCAACCGATTAAGAGCTTTGGCCATAAAGGCAATTCAAAAGATGGGTTGACCACTTCTGGTGCCAGTTTCTGAAATCATATCTTTGCCCTCAAGTTGTTTTCACATCATCCCCCACACAAGCAATTAACTCACGTGCGCGGGTGGTGAAGTCGATTGGCAAACCTTACAGCACTCACACATTACACATTTGAACCACATTGCATTCGTTTGTATTGTATTCCCGGCACTTACCACGCCTTTCCTTCGAGGAAATTTACAATGATAATCAGAGGAATTGTTTGGGAACAGTATTCGAATTCATATTCATAATTCGTAATTGCGGTTGCTGACACACGGACTCACGGACACAGCACGCAACAGCCAGCGAACCTTTTTGCTCTTGCTGCTTGCTCCTTTGCAAAAAATATAGTCAGTCTGAGCCTGAACAGTCTCGAAAGATTGCGGCCGTGCAAGGCCTGTCTCAGCTGGAATCACCACGGACCCTCTCACACTGCTGACACATTCTGCCTCGGGGTGTTGGGATGAATCCAGTCTCCCAGTCCTGCAAGCAATACTTGCATAGTGTGAGCTTCCTCAGTCCAGGTTTTCTCTCAACACAACGGCAGCAATCGGATAGATGATATGCCGTGCCAGTTCGGCTGACATAAACTAACTCTGGCGGCAACAGTTTTTGCAGAGGTTTCTCCTTAGACAGTGCCTTTTGTGTGGAAACTTCGGAAACAGTCTTGGGCTTCTTAGGTCTGTCAGTGGTCTCGGCCTCACCAACACTCCGTGCACGCATCTTGCACTTTTCAATGGCCATGCCAATTGAAATCCCCACAGCAAAGCAAAGAAACAGCATGGCCTCAAAGATCATTTTGGGCAACTGCCAACCACTAAGTGACTAAGTGGAGCAAAGAGCTGTCTCGTAGAGCAACAAAAATGGCTGACTGACGTTGGTTCCTTCAGTGTCTTGTCAATGTCCTGAAGTCCGACCCCCAATACTATGAACACATCTCGAGTTGCGGTTAAACTTTGGGAGCTTAGGAGCGCTCTCAAATTGATTTGGAATTGGAATCCTTTTGCTTTGATTTCAGCATCGAATTGACTGCGTTCGATACCAAGCACCACACACATGGCAAAACCATCCCCTAACTCTTGAGGGTGGAATGCCAAAACGGGAAGCAACACAACACACAGCAATTGGCCACACCCAGCATCCAGTTTTTTCTGAGCTTCTCAGTTTAGTCTGACCCGGAGCTAGGGTTCGGCGGTGCGAGATCCGAGTAAAGGCTGCGTACCAAAATCTTGGGGTTCCAAGAGCTTCCCATGAGATGTTTTAAAAAGACTCACATTTATGACTTTATGATTCATGATTACGACTATCAATCAACATGATTTCTGACTCGCAAATACGAAAGCTTTGGGTAAGAGATGAGATCGAACCCCCAATATTACAATTACATTGGCAGCACATCAAACTGCTCTCCAAAACGGATTCAATCTCTTGGCATGCCCCATTCAATGCACGTCATTCAAATAGAGGGTTGGAGACTCGGAGGATTGGCTTTCAGGATCACTAGCGGCTTCATCCATCAAGATTCTGTCCTTGACGATGGGCCTCAATTAATGTTGCAGGCGGAGGCTGCATAATATGTCAAAGCATTTGGCTTCGCTGCTCTACAGGCTCTACACGACTGCTGTCTCTCTATATGTGAAATGTTTCTACTTATTTTAAGGTATCAGTATACTGTATACTGAATTTGCAAAACCTGGACTGTACTTGTGACTGATTTCACCGAGAGGCTGGGAATCGAAAAGTCAAGACCACAGTCACACAAGTTCATTATACTGTCCTTGATAATACTAAAATCTTATAGAAATTATAGACATAATCATAGACATACATAGACAGATGTCTTATTTGTCTAGTTAGTGTAACAATTATGTTTGTACACGTGTACCGCTCACCTCCGTACCACTTGCACAGTGTCAACTCCACAACTTGCATAGACCTAGCTTGACTACCCCAGTTTCACAATTCAGAACATTCCAAAAGTTCCAGCTGCAAAGTGCACCCTGCCCGCGGTGATCAAATAATTGACAAGTCACCTGTCGCCACGACCCAGCGGCAGCGCATAGGCAAGGATTCCAACAACACAAGCTCCCACCACCGAAGTGGTCATGGAATTTCCTGTCGGCGCATATGAACACGAAAACTACAACCCTTGAAACCCCACTTCGATTGTGTTGATAAATTTGGTCAATGTTTGTCCGCTTCCTGGCTGCCCGTGCTGGTCATTTCCCACCCTGCGAAAAGAATCGAATCACATCAAAGCCCTTGCGGACAGCATGCACACATTAGTCGCGCTACATCTATCACCCACCCACCCTCACCTTTGCTTGCTTTCAAAAAGAAGAGTGCCAGTGGGAGTAGTGAAGTGGTAATAATTGTTGGGCTTGGTGCCAACCACTATGGAAAACATTGGTTTCTTCATGTTTCTTCCGATGTCTCTTTGAGTGCTCCTCCGACTCCTCCCCTTTGTATTTGCAAGTTCTTGGTTTAATGAGGGCCACTGTTACTCCTGCTCAGACTCAGCCCGCTGAAACTCAACAAATGTCACATATCCATATCCCGTATCCCGTGCCAAGCGTGCAAAAAACACGACAATGATTATGATTCGATCAAATGACAGTGGCAGGTGCGAATGTCCGAGTATCACACTTGGCCTGACCCTAGCCCCTAGCTGCCTGCCAACCGGGTGTTGAAGGAGGCATCGAGCTCGGTCATGTCGAAGTCGGCCACATCAAACCCTTGCGCTATGAGCAATGCCTGTGGCCAATCACTAGTGGTGGGTAGTGGCACTAAATTCTGGCTGCAAATCACTGACCGACACTTCCAATTCTTTGCTTGTCACAGCTGTGGTTGGAGCTGAGCATTTTTTGCTGGGCGCGTGAAGTACTAGGGTCCGCAACGCCTGCGAGCCAATCTCACCCACACTTGTGACTGGGCTCACAGACTATTGCAGTCCAAATGTCACACAACTTCTAATGATCCCCGAATATCCCTGGATACTGAGCTTTCTCAGCCATATTATACCAGGCTCTGGAGAATGCGACGTGACAAAAACCGGATACTTTCTCGAAGGCAAGCTTTCAATCACTGTCATGACAAACACATCACATCACATCGCGTCAAACAAAATGGAAAACCACATCGCCAAGAACTACTTCTTCTCCTTCTTCTTCTCCTTCTTTGTCTTGTCGTTCTCTGGCTTCTCTTTCTTAAACTTTTTGCCTGAGGCTGGAGCTGTCTCCGAAGATTGTTGAGTCTGGTCGCTCTTACGCTTCTTTTGCTCGGACGGCTTCTCTCCTGCTGCTGCTGGCTTTTTGTTTGCCTTCACAGCTGTCACCTTGTCCAACAGCATCTTGGGCAGGGTTGCAAGTCCTGTCCCAAAGTGCTTGTGGACATGTTTCTCGATTTTCTCCACGTCTTCCCGGCCGGAGGTGGCGGCATCACACACAACCATGTTGGCAAAAATCACAACGGTTGCTGTTTTTCCTGCAGCTGAAGATTTGCTCTTGAGCTCCTTGGCCTGCTTCTGGGCCTTCGTCGCAAGAGTGGCCAGATCTGAGAAAGCGCTGGTGTGATTTCCGAGGGTCTCCAAACTGGAGAGGAATTCGTTCAACTGCTTCATGGCCTGCTTGAGGCCAGTCAGATCATGTCGAACTTCTTCCTCTGTGTCAGGAAGGAAGACCCACTCTACCTCTTTCAAGTTCCAAGTCTCGACCGATGACTCCATCAGCTCATATTTCTCCACGAACTTGGACAAGGGATCACCCAAGGCTTGGATTTGGCTGTCAGTGGTAGCACGCGAACCGTCCACAAACATTCTGGTGTAGCTTTTACACTTGCCGCAAGTGTCGTCAAAAATGTCGTTGTCCTTCAGAACTGGTGATTCAAGGGCCGACACGGCCGCTTCCAATGTGGGCAGCTTCTCAAGGTAGCCCTTCACTTCAGAGGTAGCCTGAATCCCTTCAATTTTTGTGTCTCAAGGTACTTGCAAAGCATGTGCAAGTGCATGCATCGTGTCGGGCAGGATTTGTTTGTAGTCTTCCTTTTTCAGCAGGCCCTTTGCCAGCGCTTCCATGCCATGTGCAGTTGCTGTGGCATAGAGCCGTTCAAGCATGCCTATGATCGCCTTCAGAGACAACAAGAGGTCGCCAGCCATGGAACCACCCGTTCCTGAGTCCACTGCTTTCTGAGCTGCGTCTACGCCACCCTTGGAAATCGCAATGCCATCCTGTGCTTGCTTGAAAAGCTGGCCAAGGACTTTTGGGTCGAAGTCATTGGACTGCCCTTCAGGCAACACAGGCGAATATTGGTCAACCCAGTGGAGGAAGGATGCGTAGGCTGTAGCCAGGTCACTGGTGCTGATGTGGGACTCAAAGAAGCCTTGGCCATTCAACACAGCAGAAATCTCAATGACAGAATCATCTCTGTTCCGGGATT